CGATTGATTGCCTCCTGCACATGCCCTGACCTGGGCCAGGAATTGAGCCTGCAACCCAGGTACCTGCCCTTGACTGGAATCAAACCCACGACCCTTCAGTCTGTGGGTCAATGCTCTAACCACTGAGATAACCAGCTAGGGCTGAAAGTTTCTTCTTAATGACTAACACCACTGAAACAAAGTTTAGTTAGAGAACATATCCCCTTTTGGATCTAAGAATATAATGAATAAAACTCTATTATGTTCAGTAGCAATCATTTCACTTTCCAAACTAGGCACTCCAGCATCAGGTTAGAAAATTATAATTTTTTAATAAAGAAAACAGAAAAAGATCAGCTAGTTACCTGAGAGTTCCACAATGTTTATGAAAAAGAGGAGACTGTTTACTTGGATGGCTGCTATGATAACTGGAGAAATAAGACACAGACAAGATTTTATTATACAATAAATCATATTAATTTTATGACTATATTTCAAGTCTATGATCAGTTTATTAGTTTTGAATAAAAGATCCTGGTCTAAGTTATAAAATTCTATTAGTCATCTCTGTTCACTTCAAAATTTGTATTTTATATTTCACTTTACCTGTGTATTTTCTAACAACATATTTCCCTGAGAATATTCTTAAATGATCAGTACCTCAACATTATATCTGAAAAAAAAATCTCAGTTGTCCTGACCAGTGTGACTCAGTTGGTTGGAGTGGCGTCCTGAATACCAAAAGGTCCTAGACAACCAATAATGTTTTCGACTTATTTGTGTTGTTTATAGATGCCAGTGAGTCAAAGGTGAAAATATTTCTCAAATAAAGATGAAGAGTTGGATCTTAGGAAAACTCAGCATTGAAATTGGAGGATTTACAGTTGAAAGGTAAAAGATAAAAATCTGAGAGTGGTTTAGGGACCAAAAAAGGAAAGAGGCCAAAAGAGTTGAAGAAAGAAAAAGTAATGAAACAGAGGAGTAGCCAAAAAGGAAGTTTGAAAAAAATGTTGGTAACAGTTTAAGAGAAGTTGAGGAGAAGAGTTTCAAAAGTGAGTTATCAAAAATATCAAATACTCTAAAGAAGTCACAGAGGAATAAGAATGAAAAATAGTGAGTAGATTTCGTAGTTAGGGCATAACTGTTAAAAAGAAGCAGCTTTAACTGATAGGCAGGGGTGGTACTCAGATTACAAAGGGTAAAGAACTGATAGTAAAGGAAACTGTTTACAAATGTTGTCAATAAAAGGAAGAAAATATGCAAAGCAAAGGTAAATTCCCTTCATCTTAAAAAAAAATCCTGAAAATATTTGCAGGCAGAAGGAATGGTAGGGAGAAAAAGAAGTGAAGGCGCAAAATAACTAAATAAGGCTACAGAGGAAATGGAGGAGCTAAGAGGCAGGGTAAACTCTGAAAAATGGGGCATGTCTTTTTCTAAGATTAATGTCTGGATGAATGGAAAAACGAGGTAGAAAAGTTAATCTTGGGAAAAAGGAAAAGGGTGATCTCTGAGCAATTAGAAAAGGATAACAACTGAGAGGCTAGAATAAAATCTTGAGAGTATTTAAAAGGATTTAAACAGATCTTGTAGATAAAAAAGAGGTATTTTTAAAAAGAGGACCAAATTAAAGTGGAAAATGAATTAAGAGCTGATTGAATCAAGCACAGCGTCATAGTCTATAACTGAGCATAGAGACAGATAAAAAAGGATAAAAGATTCAAGGATAGCAAGGCTAAGCATGACTAAAGATGTAAAGGATTATAGGGCAAAAACAAGGCAACATTCAAACAGATGACTTTGAGGATGAGGTTGACTATAAAGTTGGATTGGTGCTGCTGGACTAAAAAGAGGGGTCAAAACTCAAAGTTATGGAGTAATGAGAATTCAAAGTGAATATTGTATATGATGAGGTAAGATGGGACAGTGGTAAGAAGAGGGTCAACATGTAAAGTGGATGTGAAGTGCTGGCTTTAAAGAAGTCAAGGTACCATGAGGTCAGGCGCATCACCAAGGGGGGGGGGGGCCCGGAAAAGCCATAAAAAAATGTGGGCAAATCCTATAAAGTGGAAGTTAACTATGACCAGAAAGTAACACAGAGGTCTTGTTATGATTTAAGAGAAAACCACTTTTAGTGGTTATATCTTATTTCTGACTAAAAAAAAAAAATTAAGTGGAACTACCTTAATTTGAATCAACAGCATAATTATATTAAAAAAATTTTGTCTATTAAAAATAATTCATCCTGAAGGAAGCACATACCAATAAGATCCAAATGAAAGTAATGTGGGCTCTGAAGTATTTTTTCTAGCATAAAGTATATGATAGGTACTAAAATAATATAAATTGAATTGATATATGAAAAGAAATTTCAACAGTAGCATCATCCCTGGAATATCCCTATAGTCTCTCATTTCACATTTCATTGAAATGAATGCAAAGATGGATGGCTTGAAAGAGGGATATATGGAGAGACAAAGGGGTGGAGGGACAGAGAGAGAGAGTGCGTATATGTGTGTGCCAATAATGGTCTTAGCATCTTTGACAAATCTGATGTCTCACAAAGTGACTGCTTATGTGGTTACACGTATTTATTTAATAAATATTTTTGAAACATTTAAAAAGCTTTCTTTGGAAATAACCACTTTTTGAAAGACCCAGAAAAACAAATTTCCCTAACAAACTTATTCTAATTTCATTAGTCTAGCTTCTTGAAATTTTTGTGCTACTAATTTCATAAATTATTATGCTAGAAAGTAGTACTGGGTAACAGCCTAGGACAGTGATGGCGAACCTATGACACGCATGTCAGAGGTGACACGCGAACTCATTTTTTTGGTTGATTTTTCTTTGTTAAATGGCATTTAAATATATAAAATAAATATCAAAAATATGTCTTTGTTTTACTATGGTTGTAAATATCAAAAAATTTATATATGTGACAAGGCACCAGAGTTAAGTTAGGGTTTTTCAAAATGCTGACACGCCGAGCTCAAAAGGTTTGCCATCACTGGCCTAGGAGTTCCCTATTGCTAGATCCTTTTAGCTCCTTGATGTGACAAACTAGCTTCTAATAGGTCAGATTTGTTTGAAAAACCAAACATCTTAAGTGGCAGTTTTGATTGACAGTATACATATTTAACTCACCTCACCATATGATTTATAAAGGCTTTGTTACAGTTAGTGTTGTATTTGCAAAAATTACAGTGGATATGTATTGAAAAGTGGCTTGCAAAATCTTTAATTTTGGAATGACACTCAATGCACTTGTGAACTCCTCGATAACACCTTATGGAAACAGAAAAAAATGATAAAATTTATATTGTAAAACAAAAATAATAAAGTAAAGCCTTATTAACATTTTATTAATTGAAGCTAAGATATTAAAGTTAACATCTTTAAATAGAGACTTATAATTTGAAATTTTCTTTGAAATAACAAGCTAGAATAAGTATAAAAAATCTAACAGCAGTTAACCTTTCCCTGGAATAAAAAAGATCATATTAACCAATTCAACTATCATAAGATATAAACACAAAACACAAGGTAAGTGTAAAAGATGGCAATTATACAATGAACACAGTAATTCAAGTTCTGTCCAACAGTTATAAAAAGTACCTTTTTACTGCTTGGCCTTTAAGATAAGTAATCATCATGTAAATGTGCAAGGGAGTTTTGTGATCTGGTAAATTATAATAAAAAATCCTTTAATTTGAATATTAAATTGATATTGCAAATCAGATTACCTTAAGTTCTTCAAAGCTATGATGATTTTGTTCTTTCTGTTGCGTTGTTTCTTTTGCTTGCAAGAGGTTTTTCCTTTGCATTTAGATGCACCTTTACCTTGCTTACTTGTATTGGCTAGTTTACATGTACTGGAAACAGTTGAACGAGCCTTACGTATCTTAGATTTACTTGCACTCGATTTTGTGGAGCTTTTAGCAGTTGTATTTTTAGACTTTGGAGGTGAGACCTGAAGAGAAGAAGTGCTTGGAGTATCACTAGAAGATGGAGTTGATGGCTTTGAATGAGATCCAAATGAAGCTCGAATAGTAACCTATAAATATGAAGGCAATATATATTTTTTAATAAAATTAATCATCCAAATAATATTAAAAAGGTCACTTCAAGCACTCACAGCATGATCAATTGTTTTTTGGCGAGGGTGCCAAAATAATTCAGTGAGGGAGACAATAGTTTTATCAACAAATGTTGCTAGTACAAATAGATATTCTACATTCCAATCAAGTTGGATCCCTTCTAGATATAGAAGTTAACTCAATATATACCAAAAGTCCAAATTGTAAGAACTAAAACTAGAAAACTCTTAGAAGAAAACATAATAAATCTTTGTGACCTTGGGTTAGGCAATAATTTCTTAAATATGACACCAAAAGTAACAAGCAACCAAAGAAAAACAGACAAATCGGACTTCATAAAAATTTTAAACTTTTGTGCTTCAAAGGACACCCACCATTAAGGAAGTAAAAAGATAAGCTATAGAATGAGATAAAATATTTTCAAAACATATATCTAATAAGGGACTTATATACAGAATATATAAAGAACTCTTACAACTCAGTATAAAGACAAATAACCTGGGGTGGTGAACACACAATGCAGTGTACAGATGATGTGTTGTGGAATTGTGCACCTGAAACCTGTATAATTTTGTTAACCAGTGTCAATCCAATAAAGTCAATAAAAAGGAAAGAAAGACAAATAACCCAATTTAAAAATGGAAAAGTATATTGTAACAACTATGTATGGTGCCAGGAGGGTACTAGAAATATCAGAAGGAACATTTTGTAAAGTATATAGTTGTTTAAACATTATGCTATATATCTGAAACTAAAACAAATAATGTTGAATGTAAACTATAATTGAAAAAATTTAGAAAAATAGGCAAGTGATATGAATAGGCATTTCTTCAAAGAAGATATATACAATGGTCAATAAGCACATGAAAATATGCTCAACATCACTAGTCATCAAGGAAATGTAAGTCAAAACTCCAATGAGATATCACTTAAGACCAACTAGAATTGCTATAATAAAAAAGGCAGATAAGAGACAAAAGGGGCCGCAGCAGCTGGAGCAGGACTGGCCAGCGCTGGAGGAAGCGAAGCATCGCGGGCAGCAAGCGAGATGCAGCACCTAGGATTCCTCTTCCTCGCCTTCCACACCCTGCTGGCGCTCACCTCCGCTGTGGCCAAAAAGAATGACAAAGTGAAGAATGCTCAGAGTGGACGTGGGGGTCCTGCACTCCTAGCAGCAAGGACTGCGGGGCGGGTTTCCACGAAGGTACCTGTGGGGCCCAGTCTCAGTGCATCCGGTGCAGGGTGCCATGCAACTGGAAGAAGGAGTTTGGAGCCGACTGCAAGTACAAGTTTGAGAGCTGGGGGTCATGTGTTGGGAACTCGGGCACCAAAGCCCGCCAAGGTACCCTGAAGAAGGTGCGGTACAATGCCCAGTGCCAGGAGGCCATCCATGTAACCAAGCCCTGTGCCCTCAGGACCAAAGCAGCCAAGACCAAAGCCAAGAAAGGGAAGGGAAAGGACTAGAGGCCAGGCCTGAATGCCAAAGAGCCCCTGGCCCACGTCTTCCCTCCCACAGCCCCAGGTATAACCCACCAGTGTCTTTTGTTACTCTTCAGCTTTATCAATCATGCCCTGCCCTTTCCCTTTCCTCCCCCGCCCCAACCCCCTAAGTGCCCAAAGTGGGGAGGGACAAGGGATTCTGGCAGCTTGAGCCTCCCCCAAAGGAATTTGATTCCCATGCCCCTGTTGTTCTTACCCACAATGACGCCATTGCTAAAAAGCAAATAAAACTCATTTTCTACCCCCCCCAAAAAAAGGCAGATAATAAAGTGTTGCTAAGTATATGGAGAAATTGCAACTCTTATATATTGCTGGTGAGAATGTACAATGGTGCAGTAGCTATGGAAAACAGTTTGGCAATTCCTCAAAATGTTAAACATAAGAATTGTCATATAACCCAGCAATTTGATTCCTAGCAATTCCATCCAAGAGAAATAAAAAATTTTGTTCACATGAAAACTTGTATATGAATTTTCATAGATGCATAATTCATATAGACAAAACCTGGAAACAACCAAAATGCCCATCAGTTGATGAATGGATAAATAAAATATGGTATATCCCTACAACTGAATAATATTCACCCATAAATAAAGAATGAAAGTACTGATACATAAGTACTGGTATATAAGTACTGACTGATACAGCCATAAGAAAGAGTGAAATATTGATATAAGCTACAATATGGATGAATCTCAGAAACATTATGTGAAGTGAAATAAGTCAGTTATAAAAATCACTTATGGTATGATTCCATTTATATGAAATATCCAGAACAGGAATATCCACAGGGACAGAAAATAGATTAAAGTTTGCCTGAAGCAGGTAGAAGGGAAATAGGAAGTGACTGACAATGGGTATGGGGTTTCTTTTGGGATTGATGAAAATGTTCTTAAATGGATTGTAGTGATGTTTGCACAACTTTGTGAATGTACTAAATAACACTGAATTGTACACTTTTTAAAAAAACATATATTTTATTGATTTTTTACAGAGAGGAAGGGAGAGGGATAGAGAGTAAGAAACATCGATGAGAGAGAAACATCGATCAGCTGCCTCCTGCACACTCCCCACTGGGGATGTGCCCGCAACCAAGGTACATGCCCTTGACGGAATCGAACCAGGAACCCTTGAGTCCGCAGGCCAACGCTCTATCCACTGAGCCAAAGAGGTTAGGTCTGAATTGTACACTTTAAATGGGTCCATAGTATGATATAAAAATTATCTAATCTTATCTAATAAAAGAGAAATATGTACATTTACCGTCACTTTGCAACACCCCACAGCCAATCAGGAGCAAGCATGCAAATTAACCCGACAAAGATGGCAACGGCCCCACCCCCTGGCTGCTCCGGGCCTCTGGGCAGCGTGCCTCGTCAGGGCCTCCCTGCTACGCTCCACACCTGTCAACCGCTCCACACCTGTCAACCGTCCTTGCAGCCTCCCTGTGGCCCAGCCCCAGGCCTCAGAGGCAACCCTCTGGTGCCTGAGGTCATAGCTCCTGGTGTCTGGCGTCTCCCTCTACCCCACCCCTGCCCAGCTGCTCTGGTAAACAAAACCCTAGCATTGGAGCAGCCCTGCTGGCTCGGACACACGGGAGTCCACTCAGTGCACAGTTAGCGTACCCCGGGAGCCCCGGGCCAGCCAAAGGGCAATGGTGGCAGCCATGGCGGCAGTGGCAGGCGGCTCAGCTTTGTTTTGAATAGATGAAAGAGGCCACCTACACAGTAACCCAAATTATCAGATCTCCCTCCTCCCTATCTCGTCAAATCAAGAGGGGAGGGGCAATGGGTGTGGAAGGAGGGTGGGCAGGCAGGAGGCGGAGAGTGGAGGAGGAAGAGGATGAGGAAGGGGGCCAGTTGCATCCCACTTTCACAATAGGAAAGTGAAACGAACTATCGCACCCAACCTCTCCAGTCCTCCCCGCCTCCACTGCCGCTGCAAAGGCTGCTGGAGTGAGCCCGCTGCGTGTCGGCAGCCAGGGGAAGGAAGGCCTATTCTTGCACGAATCTTCGTGCATCAGGCTTCTAGTATCTCAATAAAGCTATTTCAAAAATCACTGCAATACAGAAAGTTAAAAATCATTACTTTGAAAATGGCAAGTGTAAATTACAATCAGTTAAATCTTCCATTTATTCTAAATGGTCATACCAATGAAATAAAATTTATTTACTCTCATACTATTACAGTTTTGTATTGCTAGTATTTATATGTTAACACAGATATGGACAATTAGTAGTTTGTACTAATTATATGAATATCAAAAGAGCACATTCCGTGGCTATTTTATACTCTGATATAACTAAATAGCTTTCACAAATTTAGAGGTCAAAATTTATTCTCAAAGGCCTCAAATAATAAATATGGAAAGGCCTAAATTACTTTTTGGTAACCATAAAATAGATCTCCAATAAATGTGACCTGCTGTCTCTGGGGACTCACTGGACAGAATTTATGGTTCCAAAGGTTACTGTGGAGGTTATATCAATTCATCATATGTCATGGAGTGTTTAATAATACTCAGAATTTCCTTTAAGGGACCTAATATAAAATTTGTCATTTAGTATTTAGAAAAAGAAAATGTTTGCTAATACCCCTTAGTTAATATAATTAAAAACACAGTTGCCTATTTACATTCTTAATCATTTGACTATACTACCCCCATATACTTGAGGAGCAGACAATAAAGAAGTCATATGTAATACATACATATGACTTTCCCATTGTGAAAGTGGGATGCAACTGGCCCCCTTCCTCATCCTCTTCCTCCTCCACTCTCCGCCTCCTGCCTGCCCACCCTCCTTCCACACCCATTGCCCCTCCCCTCTTGATTTGACGAGATAGGGAGGAGGGAGATCTGATAATTTGGGTTAGTGTGTAGGTGGCCTCTTTCATCTATTATGGTTTGGTATCATACAAAGAACACTGAACTAGGAATTAAAAGACCCAAGGTTAAGTCTCAGTACCACCTCTTCCTAGCCATGTGACCTTGAGTAAGTAACTTATCCTCTTTAAACTTTCTCATTTATAGTATGGGAATACTATCTGCCTTGTCTACCTCATTGAATTGCTACATGGATTAAATAATAGAATGTATTAAAAAACATGCTGAAAGCTTAATTCTAAAGTATAAGGCATTTAGTGCCAATCATTATGATTAATATTATAATAATGTTATAATGAAATATACTAATTATTACTACTAATAAAGGAAGATATGAGGGAGGACTGCACTGCTTACATTAATATTCTGTATGTCTTAGTCTCAGCATGGAATGAATGGATTGCAGGGAAGGATACTGGATAGCTTCTCTCACTCTACATCTTCAGAGCACTGTTTTACATTATTTTCAAACAGTAGACATATTTACATTCAAAGTTAAGTGCTCAAAGCCAAATATAAATGCTTGGGAATTGTTCACTTTGGATTATACATTTCTCCACTGGAGCATAGCCAAGAGCTGACTTTACATAAAAAAGTCAGAGAAAAAGTACATAAGGCAAACAGGGAAAAGGAAATTTTCAGTCAGATGTGTTTGCACTCTTAAAACAGCAATGCTATTCAGAAGCAGAACATGCTTCTCTGAGAACAGACTCAGTAATACCAACTTCAACGAACTATGGCACTCAAGCACTATGACAAATTCCAGAGACACAAAGATAAATTAAACCTGATCCTGACCCTACAGTCTAGCGGCTGAAGCAGATATATATGCTGCCAACTGGATTAGCTCAGAAATAGCCTATAGAATATTGAAACAAACCATTGACTCAAACTACAGTTAATCTACTTGCACTCACTACAAAGGAATATGATCCAATATAGCACATGTCAATCAACTCAGAAAAGAATGGAAAAAGTTTTTCTTTCCAAACATACGATAAAACCTAAAATTAAAATCTTAATGACAATCAGAAGTCAATTTTTAATATTATATTCAATAGATAAAACCAGGCAGGAGGTTATTTCTATAATCACACAAAATGTTAAAATACAACATATTTAAAAACTCACTTTTGAACCAGGAGGCAAGCCTTCTAGTTCTTTAGGTTTTATAAAAGTCCGATGCTGGGTCTTGTGATCCAGTTTCTCCTTGCTGGTCAAAAATTGCAATCTGCATTTTGTACAACGATGAACTCCTTTTTTCTGTTTAAAAAATAATATCAGAAATAATAATTTATTAGAGAATGTGACATTGGGCAAGTTACTTACTCTCTATAATGTGTTTGTATTACTATTTTAGTTTCATTTGCTTCCTTATCTATGAAATGAAAATGACCATATACCGGCTTTGTAGAGTGGTGGTGAGAATTACACAAGATGATACAAGTAAAAGTACTAGTTAATTGTCATACGGCAAGTGATTAATATATGTCAATTGCTTTGTTATTATTATTTTTTCCACTTCGTTCATCAGTTTATTTCGTTAATTAAATTCCATATATGAGTGAGATCATGTGATACTTGTCTTTCTCTGACTGACTTATTTCACTTAATTGCCTTATTATTATAAAGATTTAATGAGGCTATTTAACACATCTGAAATCCTTCACCTTTTCTTAAAAGTTCTACAAGCCATATAGTTAGCTCTAAAATCACTCAGTGGAAAGAAATAAAATGAAATGAAATAAAATAAAATCACTCAGTGGCTCAGTGGTTAAGCATCGACCTATGAAGCAGAAGGTCACAGTTCAATTCCTGGTCAGGGCACATGCCCGGGTCCCAGGCTTGATCCCCAGTGTGGAGTGTACAGAAGGCAGCCGATCAATGATTCTCTCTCATCATTGATGTTTCTATCCCTCCCTCCCTCTCCCTTCCTCTCTGAAATCAATAAAAATATATTTAAAAAAATAAAATCACTCAAAATATAATATATTGTTTTTAGGAAACAAGTTTCATCCGAAGTCTTCAAAAAGAATAAAATTGACTATAGATTCAACCATTTTTATTGTCTAAAATGGCACTAATATAATCTCAATTACAAGCTTATACTCCTGCTATGGTTTTCGAGTATTTTATGAACAATTATACAAATTGCAAGTACTTTGAAGGATGTCTGGTGATCTTTTGTATTAATAGTCTTTCCTTTACTGCAGGGTGGGGAACATCTGGCCTGTGGGCCATATAAGGCCCACAAAATAATTTGGTCTGGTCCGGCCAAGGCATTAGAGGTAAGTTAATTAAATGTTTGACCAAATATGGCAGGCTAATTTTTAAGTTGATAATGGACCTCAAATGATGTAATAAATGGCCCTTGGCACAAAAAAGGCTCCCCACTCCTGCTCTACTGACTGCTGACTGCCTATCTCTTAGGTTCTTGAAACTTACAAAAAAATTTGGGCACTCAAGGTGTGTCAGTAATCTCTAAGATTACTCCAAGTTTTGATGATCTAGTAAGAGGAATTATAAGATTTAGAAGTTGTGATACCTGTAGCTCTGATTTATTACAGTGAAAGGATACAGAGCAGGATTAATACAGGAAAGAAAAGTACATTGGGTGGAGTCTGAAGGATACTGGCTCCAATTTCCAAGTGCTTCTCCCGATGGAGTTGTATAGGACACAATCAATCCCCTAACAATATGAAAGCGTTTTATTTTGTTTGTTTGTTTGTTTGTTTTGCCAGGGAAACTCTTTTGAGTCTAAGGGCCCTGATTTTTTATGGGGTTCAGTCACCAGTCTTCAGATTCCCAGTAGAAAAGCAAGTGTTCACTACAATCATATTTTTTTTGGACAAGTGATCTAGAAAAGCTGGTAAACATGGTTCAAAGTTTCAGGCATGTAAAATACTCGTCAGTTAACAAAGGTTCAGTTTCCAGGAGTTAAGTAAGGCCGGTTATGCAAATAGACCCTTCTGAAAATGTGCATGATTTGGCAACTCAAGACCTGTTGGGTTAACTATATACATGGCAAGTTAAGAAATACAACTCAGGGTCTGAAGAGTGACCACAAATCATGTAAACCACGTAAGAGACACAGTCCTCATAGCAAGCCCATTCTTCTCTTTCTTACCTTTCTAAGCATATTATTTATTACTCCCTCCACATCTACACTTCACCCTGGTGCTTAGTAAAGCATGGGAGAAAGAATTATGTTAAAAAAGCTTCCTAATGAAATAGTCAGAACTTTATATCTCCTACTTCCTTTCAAAATCAAAGGTCAAAAGGTGAAACATAGAGCATCAAGACCAGTGGTTCCCAAATCCTATTCCTCAAGAAATGTTAATAAAAGACAGAGAAATAGCGATCAGACTATCAATCCCCAGAGGGAAAGTAGGGGAGGGAGGGGGTAAGGG